TTAAAATCAAAATAAACCAAAGTTTAATACCAAAATAGAAAACACCCTCTTATTTGGTAAAATTCCCAAAAATTAAGTGCATACAAGTACATGTATTGAAAATACAGTTTCATGTACAAATGTCACCAGGGAAAGTTTAGCTCGTTAAAAAAAAAAATACTAGTACATGTATTCATCATTTGTTTTGCTGAATTTGTTATCGAGAGCTTCATTGCCTTCCTACCACTAATGACATAAAAACTCGTGAATTTTTTTTCTGTCTAATCTTGATTTAATAAAATGCTAAACTCATAAATTGGGAGGTGGGGGGGGGGGGGGGGGGCTTGGAATTGGGATTCAGGTGGGGAGAGAGGGTGGGGTGGTAGGGATGTTTCCATGACACCCACATCTTTTCATACTTCTTCTTAAAAGTTCTATAGACCCTATATTATACGCTTTGATGCTGTCAATAAGAAATAAACCATTTAGATCTAGTAGATAAAGTGCTGAAGAAGAAATAACTTTGTTTTGTTGTTATTTTTGTTTGTTTGTTTTAAAGCCTATCTATCTGTATCTGTTTAATAATACATATTTGTAGATCTAGTTGTAGAAAGTACGCTGTATTATTGCTTTCTATTAGTCTAGATATTATATAGTACGCCACGGCGCCCAAGTAAAAAAAAAAATCAACAAGCGCCAAGCCTCGTCTATCGCGTATGAGAGAGAAAACATGCCTAGCCTGGCCCACTGCTTTAGCATGAACTCCTTCACACAGCTTGCCAAAAAGAACATGGCGGACGCCGCTGCCGAATGTGGCCATCGCGCAGCAAGGCGAGAGAGGGACGTACTGTGTCTAGTCCCGCGTGGTGGAAGCTGACAATACAACCATGTTGTATATTCTCTTTTGTTTAAAAAAAAGAAAAGATAAATGAGAAGCGTGCTGGCAAAATGAGCCACTTCTCGAAATCCACAAAGGGAGATAGTGGCCAATAATCAACACTCTACGATCAAATAAGATTTTCGATAGATGCCCTATACCTTATGTATAACATGTCTCTTGATATTTCATACTTATAAATTGTAAAAATTCCACCTATAATAAGTGTGAAGTATCTATTTCCGTAAGGCTTGAATCCGGGAAGTAACTCATTTAGTCAGCAAACCTCACAAATAAATCATGGACAGAAGACTCTTGTGAAACTTTGAAATTGTGTATCCCCCGTCAAAGCCAGATTTATGACAAAGAACACAGCCATCTGGTGTGTTCCCTAAAAAATCTGAGCGTTTGTTTGATAGACGGGTTGTCTACAACAGCGACGACATTAACAGGTTATGAAAACCGGACTCCGTGACCCGGTGAAACTGTGGAAGCTGGCCATAGATTCACACTTTGTTTTCATCTGTTAAGATAAACTGATTTAAGTCAGTTATTGGGCAAAAGTTGGAGAATTTATTGTTTGATACTTGAGGAGATATTTGACAATAAGTTGCGCCATTAATTTTTGACAGCACTTATAGAAAGTTACGTTTGTTTTTACCAGTCAGCAAACTGGCCACAGACGAAAGTTAGCAGTACAATTTTATTCCACTTCCAGTTCTTTAAGTTGTTAGATTATAGCAAAGTTCGTAAACTACCAGAGGGTTTATTCCTCTAATTGAAATACAATGTGCTTTCGATAAAACGTTTCAAAAACGTCCATGGAGACACGTACTATAATATATTATATTATACCATTGTGTATTTGGTATTGTATTTTCTAGTAGTTAACGACACATCTTGTTGACGAAAAGTTGGAGCAAAGAAAGTTTAAAATAACAACTGATTATTAAGAAACGAAACAAGACTCTTTTTAAAAAATCTAACCTATTGACGACGTCTATAAAAGAGAACTCGAATTTTAGACATACACGAATATCGAGTGACACCCCAGATTCCTTAGCCGTTTATCTAACCCATCAGTGATAACAGTAGTTGATATAATTAGTTATGCATAATATACTCGTCCGTTACTGGGCCAGTATTATCGAAAAAAAAACCCGCAGCTGATAACCGATAACTTAACAGTAGGGTGTCCAGTGTCAGTGTCACTGTCACTGCTGGACGAACTGTGGACCCGAATGTCAACTGACTTTGGGAAGGTTGCGCACAACTAGCAAATTAATATTAATGTTGGTCTACTATTGACGATAAAGAATCCATTTATGGATCAGTCCTTTTTTTCTTAAATTTTTGGAGTGTGTGTTTTGTGGGGTTGTTGTTGTTGTTGTTGTTTGGGTTGGGGGGG